ATTTTTTTTTTTACTTTTGAGATATATAATTTTTTTGTTGATAACAAGTAAAAATTAATAAACGGGGGGGTCTTAATAAGCTTAGGGTGGGTGGGAAAAATATCCAAAAATTAATTAACGGGGGGAGGGGGGGAAGGGGACGTTTATTTGGAACTCTAGAGTAGTTTCAATTGAACATAAAGTAATCGACAACCTTGATTTTGATGACATCATTATTGAAATTGCATCCAAAAAAGCTAGAAAAGTGAACTTAAACTGAAGTTTGTACAGTATTCATGACAAATTGTAGTTTACACTTGATATGATAAATTTGATCAATAAATCGTTTTTTAGTTTAAATATTTAAAATCTTAGTAACTAATGATTCAATCATAAAAGTTATTTTTATAGCTACATATCATGAAAACTACATTATTGGCTTATAACTTTTTATTTTCAATTTCATTTCAATAATTTTTATTCTTACTCCAAGGTCTCAAAAAGAACTGAAAAGAACTCCGGTGTAAGCAACAGCAATATTTTACCTTAAAAAACGTCTTAGTTAAAACTACAATACTGAAATATGGTAAAAATTGAGAACATTTTCTTTTTTTGCTTAACAAATACAATTTCTAACCCTGTATAGTTATATAACTATACAGGGTTAAATACTAATTATGGAATTCAAAATACAAATTATGGAATTCAAAATACTAATCTAAAATGGATCGAGCCTTATCTACAAAATCGTAAACAATGTGTGACGTATGATTTAACTTGTACGCAGTTAGAAGTTATTAGTTGTGGTGTCCCTCAGGACTCAATACTTGGTCCTCTGCTGTTTCTCTTATATATCAATGACATCCACTTATCCTCTAAATTCCTTAATTTTGTTCTTTTTGCTGATGATACTAATATTTTTTTTTCGGGGTCCAATTTAAAATTTGTTTTTTCTACTGTAAACACAGAGTTAATTAATCTCAATGAATGGTTTAAAGCCAATAAACTGTCCGTAAACATTGATAAAACTAAATACATTCTGTTCACGAAACCTTCGAAAACTGATAACATATCCCTAAAACTTCCTGACTTATTTATAAACAACTTTAAAGTAAAAAGAGTTCATTCAAAGAAAATCCTAGATATAATATTTGACGATCATTTAAACTGGAAAAATCAAATCCAATTAGTGTAAAACAGCATTTCAAAAGCTCTTGGGATCCTTTTCAAAACGAAGCACCTTTTGAATATAATGTGGTTAAAAAGCTTGTATTTTTCATTTATTCATATCACATTAGTTATTGCAATATAGTGTGGGCAAGTAATTATTCATCTTCTTAAAAAAAAAATTAATACCAAACAAAAGCAAGGGAGCCGGTTAATTTTAAATGCAGGTAGAAATGCATGCGCCGAGCTTTTACTCAAAAAAATTAATGTTTTAAATATTTATAAACTAAACATCTATCAAAATCTGTTATTTATGTTTAAAATTCATAACAACATGCTTCCAACATATTTTCAACCTCATTTTACCTTAATTAATCACAAATACTCTACAAGACATTCCATTGGCAACTTTCTCATCCCTACAACATCCCTTTGAAAAACAGACTTCTCAATTACATGTCAAGGACCACGTTTGTGGAACTATTTCCTTAATAGAGACATGAAAAACATGACCTCAATTGAACTATTTAAAAGAGCAGTTAAACGATACTTATTAGATTTAAATAATAACAACATTCTTTTGTATTTTTAAAAACATTTACATATCGATTTGTTAACGCGTGTATATGCATCTTATAACTTATATACTTTATGAGCTGTAATATGTTATAGTATATATACAAAACTTGTAATATGTATAAAATTTATATAACGTATATTTTAGGAACTTAATACGTAAATCTTATTTGATATTTTCACGAACTTAGGAGCAGGTTGATAAGACGCATTGTCTTCTACTTGCTCCTGTCAGAATATAAAGATTTAATTTTAATTTTTACAAAAAATATTATAAAATGATTGTTTATTGACAAAATATATATATATATATATATATATAATAAAAAAATAAAAAATCAATAAGCAGTAATTAATAAATTCTAGACTCGATTTGCTTAAATCTTCAGGCTGTTTTCAACTTTCTTAAATAAATGTGTGTATAATAGAACTTAAATACAAAAATTTTTAATGTTACTATAAGGACCTTAAAATTAAAGAGGTATTTAAATTAAACGCCGTCAGGTGTTAAATAACTGTACTAAACTAGTTATAAAATTTCTATTTTTATTCCTTTCATCTTGGTGAAAAAAGGTTGTACATTATTACAAAGTTGAGATTCTCTGTAAAACATCATAAAGTTAATAATAAAATGAAAAACTATATATATATATATATATACATATATATATATATATATATATATATATATATATATATATATATATATATATATATATATATATATATATATATATATATATATATATATATATATATATATATATATATATATATATATATATATATATATATATTTAAATGTATAATTTAAAATATACAAATAATTGTAAATGTATTCTACAAAGTGGAGGGCTTAATGTTCTTAAAAGAATAGAGCAATAATTATGTCATTTTTGTCCAATGGTATATCATTTTTAATTCAATGGTAAAAATGTGTAAATAAATATCAAGTATCCTCAGAGGAAACAGTTCTATTTAAAGCATTCGAAGTTAAAATAAGATAGCCTTGAATACTTTTAATAAAACGGGAATCAAAAAGTTCTTTCTTATAAAGGCTTTGCAGTTAGTTTTATTTAAATCGACATCTTTTTGCACCTTTTTTGTCCATGACACTCTATGCCATCAATTAATCTCCTCGACATTAAATTCAAAAAAAGTCATTTTTAAAAAATGCTTAAGAATTTAAAGACTCGTTTTTCTTCAATGCCAATATAAACTTACATCAGTCATAAGTTTTGTAAGAAATACATTGAACTTCATAGAGCAGCTTTGATTATACAAATTATTTGTTTGTCCAAATATCAATCCCAGAATTCTAATTAATAATATTTTGTGACGTTAACCGAACGTACCCTATTAACTTGATTAGAGAGTTTAAGCATACAAGCGTTATGTCGAGGCAATGGTAGGAATACAAAAGAATTTCTCATAAATAATTAATAAGTCTTAGGGAAACTTCCTTTCTAACGCATCACACGCTAGAAATCTAGACGATAATTCGTCTCACTTTTTTTTTCCCGTAAAGTTTAGGAAGTGACTTCCTAAAGTTCACGGGAAAAAAAATCAGACGAAATATCGTCTAGCTAGAAATCCTAGAAATTTCTTACCACTGCTAAAAAACGCACGTAGCATGAATAATTGATGAGTTTAAAACTCATATTTTATAAAGTATGAGTATTGCATAAAGTAATGTATGAAAAAGTATTGCATATTTCAGGTAACAAAAGAAAAAAAAAATATATATATATATATATATATATATATATATATATATATATATATATATATACATACATATAATATATTAGTAAATAGTCATAACAGAAAAACAAATTTTTATATTAAAAAAAAGTTGAAGCAATGACCAGAAAAATATCATAAATACATATTTATCAAAACTTTAAAAAAAAATTTTCGAAATCCTACAGTCAATTTATTTCAAATAAATAAACGAATCTAGATGTTACTCTAAAAAGTTATTAATTGAAAGTAAAGTTTAAGTACGCTAAGGTATTTTTTACCTTTTTTTAATTTATATTTTTGTGAAATTTACATTAAAAATAAGGCTACAACATTGAGTTTTTAGAAATCAAATAACAAACGGACGGTTGTCATATAAAATGTTCAAAAGTTTTTCGTATTTTCTTACGCATGCGTACCTAAATATAGCGCTTGTAAACGACAGTGTTTAGTTTTGAATGATTTGTTATATTTTTGAGATTACCGTCTCCCAACTCCCAATATCATCTTTAAATTTAAAGTAAACTTTGATGCAGATTCTCTAGTAAGACTGCTTTAATTATTTATAGAGCAGATTTTTTGGAATTGTTCTTGGAATCGTTTTTGAAATTGTTTTTGGGAATACTTTTGACTTAAAACTAAGTCCTGAAAATTAATGACTTGAAACGCGCATGTTGAAAGTTTTTCATGCTTAATGTTTTTGAAATTTGCCGTGATACCAAACTTGCTTGCATTTGTACTAACACCGCCTGGAGATAACGCGTGTATGCTAAAACTCTCTATTATCACAGAAATGTTGTGATAAGTTGTAAATTATTTGAAAAGCAGCTTTTACACGTATAAACTGACTATTACAAAGCGTAGATAAAATTTTTTCTTTTATTACTACCAGGAAAAGCTCATCTGATGTCCTTATAATATTTTGAAGCGAGTTTATTTTTATGAAAGTTGACACCAAAGAAGCAAAAGATTTATTGTAGGGAAGAGTATGCACTCTTGATCCTAAAATCCAGGGTGCTTCATGTTAATAACACACTCCTAAATAATTGTAGAACTAATATCGAATATAAAAAATTTAATATTTATATTAATATACTTTATTAAAGTTTATTAGAAACAAACAACTCTAAATTAGTTGTATAATTTTCGTTTATTAGTTGTATAATTTTTTATTTGGTTTGTTTTTTCACCCTCTGATTTTAGGATCAAGGGTGCATACTCTTCCCTACATTGTCATCTAGTAAAATTAACAAAACGACAAAAAACGTACATCGTTTCTTAGTGCAAGAAACTCCGCGTAAAAACTTATAAAAAACTTACTCCACTCGAACCTACGCAATCGTATCATGCCGAGAATGTGGCAGGAACTTTATACTTTATCGTAACAAGTCGAGAATGTGGCGAGAATTTTATACCTATTCAATTGTAACATGAAAAGGAAACAAAAAAGTTAAAATTTTGACGACATATTTAATTATAACATTATTTCAAAAGCAAATTATTTAAACTAATTATCCAAATAAGAACAAATCATGTCTGAAATATATATTTACTATTGAATCGTTTATTTTAATATGCTCATATATTTTAGGTATATCACCAAAACATCTCGTGTTTTGTATGGAAAAACAAATTTTCAATAAAAGAAAGAATATAATTATTGTACAAATTATGCATAAAAATTTATATTTTTAAGAAAATCAATTATCATTATAACCATTAGTAAAATGTCGATTCTTGAAACAGTACTGAATATGTACACGCCTGCAATGAGATAAAATTCAATTAATTTTATTTGCTAATATTTTTTGCTGTTCTTGTAAAAATTTTGGAGGAACTGCTTCTCTTTTCAAACCTCCATCCCTAAACAAAAATAACGTGATAAATTAGAAATTAAAAAGGTTGCCAACAAATAAATTTTATTAAGTCGATTAAGTAAAGTATATTTAATTCAACATAAAATATGTTAATAAAGTAATGAAAAATAGATTATCAATGAAAATATTGCAAGTAGTGAAAGCCACCTAGTTTTATGTTGTGTAAATTGATTAAAACTATATTGTTAACTTAATATAAATAGATATCTAGCTATATAGCTACTTAGACGTTATTGTTAAAGATGATGCCAACTCAATTTCTTTAAATAAAGCTATTTTATAATATTTTGAAAAAAAAAATGAAGTAACAAAGAAAATAATCAGATAGAATATGGGCTTTTTCGATCCATTAAGACCTCAAATTTCAAACATAAATGGGCTGTTAAAAATAATATAGTCTAAACCATTAAATGAGCTTTTGACACATATGAACTATATTCATTTTATTCCAATTTTTTTAATTTGAAATTACAAATTAAAAAAAAAAACGTTTATCGTTTTAACCCTAAAAGTGGAATATATTATAAAACTTTAAAAAGTGGTAATGTTGTTTGAGGTGATTTTGTTTATATTTCTTTGAAAATTACGCTGAACAATTAAAAAAAATGATTTGAAAAGCCATAAGAGTTAATTCTTATTATAAGTATTAACAACACTCAAATATATTTGACAATAACAAAGAAAAAAAAAAAAAAAAAAAAAATGAAGCCTATATTATGCATTTTATTATGCAAGGTCTGGTTACGATTGCATTATTTTTGAGAAAAATTTGCATTTTTTTGAGAATTTCTTTTTGAGAATTACCTCTAAAAAATGAAACTTCCTTATACTATTTGATTTGATGAACATGGTAAAATCGTACATCTATTACCAATAAAAAAAGATCATTTAAGTTAAAGAACAGTCATCTCTATATAGAAAGAGTTTTTTACTTTACCAAAAGATTTTTTAGCTGTTGAAAGAGTTGAACAGAGCAAATATTTTTGTAAACTGTTTAAATTTTTAAAATTAATAAATTTCTTTGAAAATCCTGTACCAAGTTTGGTTATTCATATATACCACATAACCAGTGTCTTTTTGAAAAGAAATTGAACTGGAAGAAAATATACTGCTTCACAAAGCCATCAATATTATTATATTTTATTATCAGATAAAACATCTTTATTAAAAGATTTTTAATTTTTTAATATAAAAAGCATTTCTTAGAAGAGATCCCCAACAAACATGTACCTTAAACTGAAATAATTAGGACAAAAATTCACTAACCAAATTGTCTGATTATGGCAGTAGTTCCTATTCTGAGTTCTAATTTGTTATTTCTTATTTACAAAGTAAAAGATATTAAGATTGCACAGAGATGAATAAAAAAAGCTTTTTAGATTGAAACGTAACATTTTGGAGATCATTTATTGTTTTGAACACTTTCTTTTTCTGTGCTGCTGCCACTCAATAGTGCTTCTTTAGGTTTAAGCTGATTTTCTTTTTTTGCTTTTTCTTTAAGTTTTTTTTCTTATTCTTGAGTCAATAATTTTTATATTTGATCACATGCAGGCTTTTGTAGCATGGCTACTATAGGCCCAGAAAATTTGCTAAGCAATAATCAGTGCCTCAGCAACATTAAGAGGATACCTTTCTTTCAGATCTCCCTTCAGTATACTGACAAATATTCATTTTGGTTTGTGCCTATGGTTTTTTGGGCAAAAAACATTTTCAAAAAAGAAAGCACATGTACTAATTCCATCATGCTATACAAGAAACAATTAACTTTCTGGTCTTAATTTCAAGTTTATTTCCAATAACAGTAATAACCAAAAAATGCATCATACTAATTAACATATTACTCACTGGTACTAATTAACTGGTACATAACACTCTATTACCTATACTTTTTCACTTAATAGAAAATAATTATATTAGGAAAAATATAATTCTTTATATTAATATTAATTTATATTAAACTCATACAATAAATTTTTTATATATAACTCATCTTATAAAGAAATAGTGTTTATGTTTTATTTGTTGATTTTTACCCAATCCTTTAATAAATAAAAACTAACCATGACATGTCCACCAATCCACCCTGACGAGCTATATCTTTTTTAACACGGTTAGCAAATTGAACAGCATCTTCTCCAGGCTGAATAAAAATAAATGTGTAAAAAATTACACATACATATATATTTTACACTAAGTAAAGTTGTCACAAAACACCATGAAAAATGTCATACTGACTTATAGGTAGGGACATTTGTACAAAATTTTTGTTACAATAAATCTCCTTCATATTCCTCAACTATTGTAAGCACTGAAGCCCTCACCAATCCCAATTTGAGTATGTGTCACCATCAGTGACATCTTATTGTCACAATAACTAGAAATATTAAGAGAACTTACCAATATACTAAAAACTTAAATATTTTAAAGACAAGATTATAATTATTCTTTAAGATTTACTTTTAGAATTTCTTTTACTCTTGATTAAAAACATGCTGACTCTATTTGTCTAAAGTGTCATTATTGCCAACAAAACAGAGTATACTTGATTGAGTTAATGTATATTAAAATGAGATAATGTGTATAGAAACTATTCTTGATGAAATAACAAAACTTAATAACAATTAAACTATTTACAAGTTTTTCTGCTGCTGGTAAATACCAAACATCACATACAATTGCCCAACTTGTCACCATATTTACTATATACAGTAACATAGATTCTTTTGCTGAGTTCCAGAAAGGATTACCAAAAATTGCATCATACTAAATTAAAAACATAAAAGCATTTATTCATTAATTATAACTATATTAATAAAACTAAAATTGAATAAAAATATCCATACTTTAATTGCAACTGGATAAATAACACCGCCAACTTCAAAACTACCTTTCTTAAACATCATAACAGATGTGTTGTTAATGCAAGTTCCTAAAGAACATCTCTTTTTTATTTCTTCAAATTAGTTAAAAAAAAGAATACTTTTAAGAAACACAAAATAAGTTAACTATTAGGAAACTAAATTAAAGAACTGACCTTCAGGAAATATAAGAATAGGGTTCTTTCGAGAGTCTTCAACATGTTCTCGCATTCTAAAACAATAATCAACTTATTCAATGCTACCCAGTTTAGACAGTTGAAATTATAAAAATTTTTTTTTGAAGTATACAGTACCAAACAATCGATTAGCAGGGGAGAGTGGGTATCAACTTGATCTTCTACATAATATTTTTCTGGTCAGTAAAATAATGTTTTGATATAACTGTCTATTGTAAATCAAAGATAAAATGCCTCAGATGCAGCAGGTATGTGTAGAAAATCATGTTATGGGTAAGGCACAATGATCCTACTAAAATTGTAATCTATGCACTTTATGCTTAAACAATACTACTTCATGTAAGCAAAACAGTTTCGTGTAAACAAAACTATATTGTGTAAGCATATAACACCTTTTTTATGACCTTTTTAGAATTTTTTTTATTTTTATAAATTATCTTATAAAATAAAAATAGTTTACAATTTTGTATTGGTATGAAGAAAAATGGAAAAACTTTTTTTTTCAAGTTCACTTTAGTATTTATACAAATGAAAAAAAGAATCTTCAATTACTTTTAAGGCGGTTTTAAATTTGAGTGACAAAAATTTTAAAAGAAATTTTATTTTAATTAAGATTCTTTTTAAATTTAAAAATGTAAATAATTAAATTATTATGAAAACCTGACTTATTTATAACTATAAAATTTCTTGAAATTCTCTAAAACATTACAACTTAGGGTGTAGAACAACGTCTTTCAATAAAAATTTAGAGTGCAGGATAACATCACAATTTAAAGGTCAGAACAACACTGCATTTTAGATTTCACAATTATGTAACAATTTAGAGTGGCAAAATAAGCAACAGTAAAGATCAAAAGTTTTTAATTTAATATTTTGTTTTAAACTTTTATTTTAAGTATATCATACATTAATTTTTTTTTTAATTTTTCTATTATATGAGTTAGTAAAATTACAGAAAAATAAAACATAAACAAACAAATTTGATTGATTGAAGTTAGTCAAACTAATTTTTGAAAGAAAAAAGTTTTTTTTATAAGTTATTGATAATAAAATCATGGTAAAATGTGATAAAATCTAGGAACTAATAAAAAAATGATCCTGAGACATTATAAAGATGGGATATAAAACTAATGTCTAATGGGTGGGTATATAATTTTTGAAATCTCATTTGCTTTCTTGAAACTTGTACTAAAATTTTTATATAAAATTTAAAAGTATAATAAATGAAAAAAATAGTAAACTTTGTTATATTCTGTTATTTTAGTAATAATATTCTCATTTCTTCAAAAATCTCAATGAACTAAAAACTTAATGGTGATGCAAACTCTCCTACTCAGTTTCTTTTTATTTTAGGTTTTCATATATATACATACATATACCTATTTACAACTAAAAGTCTATCTTTTAACTCGCTGCGCTCGAAGAATATATGATCTTGTGCCTTTAGTAAAGATTTTTGAACTGTACCCATAATTCCAGATTGCATTTGACCTATCTAAAAATGAATTTTAAACCATCGTTACTAAAGTGATTTCACTAAATAGCGAATGTGATATCATTTAACAGCTGACAGATCTTACTTCAGTTGAGTTGACAGCATGGTCTCCAAAAAAAATATATTTTCAACTTACTAATGCATAATTTCTGTCACAACCAAGTATAAAAGCATCTATCGGAGATGTATGATTAGCAACACAAATTCCACCTCCTTTTGCCATATTTTCCCTGTAAAAAAAAAATGTGCACATTATTTTTCTTATTTACATTTATATTTCTTATTTACAACTATTTTCTTATACATATTTGGACCTCAGAGCCAAAATGTATAAAATCCACCTTTTATAAAAGTGATGTTTTGACTTCTTGCAATACGATTTTATACATTATTTTCTGCACTGCTTAGTGTTATGCAATGTTTGTTATTGAATTTTTTCATATCTTTCTGTACTTACTTGTTAGAAATCAATTATCCAAACAGATGTACTGGATATTATTAAAAATAGGAGAGATTCTTTGGCATTTAGGTCCAGATATTATTTTTATATATATATTTCTAAAATATTATTATCATTATCAAGGAAAATATTTTTATAAAACAATTTAAAAGAAAATAACAAGTATACAAATTTTTCAATAACAACTAAAAAATAGTTGTTTTTTTAACTAAAATTAAAAAAAATATTACAAATAAAAAAGTAATAAGATAACCTATTATGAAAGTTGACCACAATTGAAAGTCCTCTAGAAATGATACGAAATGATAAAAGTGTGACCCATTTACACAGCCAAAACCGAAGACTAAAAAGTAAGCGCTTTTATCAAATGCTCAAAGTTTAAACTCAAAAACACTCAAGTTATCTTTACCTACTTTACATTGGGTATAAGAGGAAGAATTGACATTGACGCTAATAAAAAACCAAGACCAATAGTCAAAATAGTTACTCTGAAAGAAAAAGTCTACACTAAAAATTAGATAAACACAAAAAAAAATTCATATAAAAAAAAAAAAGATAAAAAGAAAAAAAAAAAAAAAAAAAATCATACCTCACTGGTAAAAAGATTAAGTACCTAACTAAAAAACCCAAAACCCATATCATTGTAAGACGAAAGCTAAAAAAAATGCAACCTGTTGTGATGTAAATAAAAGATAACATAATTTATCCATTTTTAGTAAATAAAAAAACTCTTTAACAATAAAAAAAAATAATTACTTCTAAATGTTCAATATTTACTAAATCTAAATTTCTACTATTATCTTCATACTGTATAATAGACTATTTTCAAAGTTAAAAACAAACTAAACTGTATCTTTTTTTCTGTTTAATGCTAATTTGGCCATTTATAATACATTCTAAAAATATTTCTAAGCTCTCACTTCTGCAAATTATGTTAACATTATCACGGAAAATTGAGACGCCTGCAATTTCATTTCTAAACAAAAAGTAAAAAACCCTCTATATGATATATAGTAACTAAAAAGTAAGATAAAAATAATTAATTATAAATAAAAATAATTAACTATAAATAAAAATAATTAACTATAAATAAAAATAATTAACTATAAATAATATATTGAAATTTAAAAAGAAATAGCCAAGAATCATTTGAGTGAACTTAACATTTTTGTAATACATTACTTTTATATATTAGAATCAATATGTAGCTTTTCTCTCCCTGGTTAAAGCCATACCAGGTTAGGCTTTGAGTAGACTTTTTTCAGAGATAAAAACAAATACTGTACAAAAATTTCAAACACTACTTAATGGTGTGTATTAATTGAAAAAAAAAAGTATGTGATCATGAATTTTTGTGAGTTTATACTCTCTGCCTGTGTTTATCTCCACAACAAGAAAAACTTTACAAAGATTTCAAAAGTCAAAGTCTGACTCTATTCTTATAAATTTAAGGTACAAAAAATTTATAACAATAGAGTCAAAAAGAGTATTCTGAATTTTATCTCAAATCAGAATTTTTTCGCTTTTTTTTACATATACATATAATAATGATAAGTTGCGGCAGGAAAATATAGGGAAGAAATAAAGTCTAGTAGAGATGGTTTGCATGTTGTTGTTGAGGTCAGATGCATTAAAGAACTCTTTGAAGAGACACTGAGTGTCCACCAGTTATTCAATCATATGGATGGCCAATTTGTGGATTAAGCCAACAAATATTTTCTAAGTTATTAATAAACTTGAAGTTGTAGATATAAGAGACACCATAAACAGAAAGTTTGCGGAACATAAGACTATGAGGAGGTGTGTCAAATGCATTTTCATAACCTAGATATAAAGCATCTACACAATAACATCTTGTCATTGAATATGAGATCTGATCTAGAGTTTCCAATAAATGGGTGATGCATTATTTGGAACAAATCTGTGCTGATTTTGAGATAAGACTATTAGCAAATTGATACTCAGTTAAACAATATCAGGGTCGGAAAAAACCCAACCCAAATCAATCTTCCAAATCAAAATTCCAAATTTTTATTATTTTATGTATATTGTAACTTTTTTTTTGATTTCATAAATTCACCTTCCTATTGCTCCAGTGTCCACTACAATAGGAAGTGACCGGGACCCTTGCCTTGGCCAAAACTTTTTTCAAACCCGGCCCCGGCTAAACTATAAAATTTAGCAGGGGTTGATAGTCAGGACTAGAAAAAATTTATAATACTTTATTATAATTTTATGCTTAGATTTACTATTTATCAAATACTGGTATATATTTATATATTTTTAAACTCTAATTTACTTCCAATAAGATTGCAAGCAACCACTATTAAGTTATGAGTTACTTTAAAATAGAGAATAAATAAAAATACTAGGAAATGGTTAACTGAAGACTCGAAAAGTTGTAGGTTGTATATAAAAGAAAAACATGAAGATGGCTAATAGTTATAAGGTTTTTTTGATGGGCAAGGAAAAAAACTGGATTAATAAAAGTTTTTATAGAGCTGAAAATACCATTACAGACTAGAAGGCTACTTAATTGTGATTATAACCCTCTCTCAACTATATATATATATCTGAAACACAAACCTTGACAACCAAGGCTGCTGCGCAGAGAAACAAGTTGAGCGTGGTACTACCAGGGACATAGTGGGGATCAAACTCGGTACCTCTCACTTAAGATGTAAGTGCTAAACCACTACGCCATGACCGCATTACATTTACAATGTGCTTTTAGACTTTGTCTGAGAGTAGAAGGGTTGTTATTCATCAATATAGGAATACCAACATAGGCTTACAGAAGAGAGATCAGATTAAAAATCAACTGCTTGTTCTAAGCAATTAGATTAAAAAGTGAAGATTTTTTAATCTTCACTTTTTAATCTAATGATGATGATGATGATGATGATGATGATGATAATAATCTTGATGATGATGATGATGATGATACTTTATAATCTTGATGATGATGATGATGATGATGATGATGATGATAATGGTTATGATGATATGATGATCATGTTGATCATAATGATGTTTATATATGCATATATATACAAAATATAACATGAATTTTGAATTATAAAATTTTACTTTAGGATGTATAAATAGGCTGTGTCGATTTTTTTTTTTTTTCAAATATCAAAAAAGAGTAGTGAAAAAAAAGTAACTTCATGGTTATTTAAATACAGGGAAAATTTAAAAAAAAAAATTTTAAGTGCAAGCTTTTTAAGTGCCGTGGCTAGAGGGTTGGAGCCCCCCCTCCCCCAAACCGGTCGTAAGGACTTCAAGTTCTAAAAAATCTTTCACACTCGAGCATTACTTAAAAAAAGAAAAAAAAGATCTTGAGAATTGAAAAAGGTCCCTAAAATTGCTAGCCCCCCCCCCCTTCATTTAGGGTTTAGGTAGTCTTGTCAACCCAATTTTCTTTATTGTTATTGTAATATGCCCGCGAAAAAGATTATATAATGAGGTGGCATCTATAAAGTATGTACGCAGTAGAATTCCTGAAGCCTTCCTCATTTTTGTATGTATCCGTTACTTATTAAAAAAACTTCCTTCTGTCAACAATGCAAACTATTAAAAGTATTAAGTATACAAGTTTTTAACGAACACATCGTTTTTTAACGACTTTAGCTACTCCCCTTGCATTTGTACAAGGGTTTTCATATCCTTTTTGCTTCTGTTTCTTGACATTAACTATGACATGTCTACTTGCAAGCTGAGCACGTATATAAGATTCTCTTCTCTTGTGTGTGTAAACATGGCCTGCAGCTTCAGTTACCAATTTGACGCATCTTTCAACAGACTGTATATGAAAAGTCCAAGGAGGAACTTCCATAGGGTAGTTTAAAAACTCTTTGATTGTGGCAGAGGTAAGATTGCAGGTAAGTGGTGGCTCAGTTACATTCAAGTTCCATGTTATGAGGTTAGCTAGCTGATCAGATTGAGGATTTATTTCAGGTGTTTTTCTTACTCTGATACTACTATCTCCTTCTCCTCGAATCTTAAGAATCCTAGTTACAGCTTCTTTTCTTTCTTCTGTATTTTTGCTGCAAAGCATGGCTAAAATTGCTTCAGAATGTGCATACCACGCTGATCGCCTAATTGTTGGCATAACAATATCTAAAACATTTTTACTTTGAGTTCTAAGTAGCTCTAGTTGATATAAAACGTGTCTGGGACCCTCTATCCAATTTGATTTCACTTTAATGTTAAACCAATTGGTATGTAAACACTAACAATAAAATTTACAATCATTTGTAAATTTTCTAGATTTTCACCAGTAAGCCCATGATTTGACACCCAAATTCTGCAAAATCGAAGGGCTGTTGTTAGCCATCTACTGTGGTCCAATTTCCAGCATTGCTAACCTGTTAGGTAGAACTCCAGTCTTTATTGCTTGGCAAATTTGATAGGCATAACTTTGATCAGTGCTTAAATCCTTAATAATCTCCTGACTGAGATATATTAAAGGAGGACCTAAATTTATTTTAGTAAAGTTTGAATTAATTTCAATTTCAGTTGCTGTGTCAAGCATTTTCCCAAGTGGTCCAGACAATTTATTATAAGAAAGTGTTTTACCATCTAAATTTTCAATTAAATGTCTTAACCCTAACTCACCAGTGTGTAAATCACAAACAATCCAAACTAATCTTCTACTTAATTTTTTCTCTACACATTGCATGACACCACCTGCCCAACCAGTATTAACATTTGTGCTATCTCCTCCAATAGCCATGAAATTTTGAATTTGATTTTTAGTTTTTAACCAGTCAACCAAGTAATCTGCAATAACTTCTGCTTTTTTTTTATTAGCCATCACATCTGGAACAAAATGGAAAAGATAGTCACCCCCTGGGTCTTTTACAACAGAGTAATGTTCCTCTTTAATAAGGCTAGGAAAATTTCTTTCATTTGCCTCTATAAACATTTTTGTAGCATCTACTCTTCCATAAAAAAAAGGCAAGTAACCGGGTTATTTTCTAGGTCTATCTCAAACTGGTTGTTTAATTCTTTTGCTAATTTTTCTTGAGCCCTTTTGATTTTGTTATGATCTATAATAAGATGTAAATCACTCTCGCTTATAAGTTTTGCATCTATCAAGGTAGCTGTGGCTATTTCAATTGCTTCTCTCAAACTTGTTTGATGTCTCATGCTAGCCAGTGCAATATTTTTGATTTTCATAGTATTATACATAGAAAAAGTTTGATTAAGGGGTGATTTACATTTAGTTTGAGTATCTACTTGGGTTATGTTCTGCTCACTATTATCTTGAAATGTCATAGAGGAGCTATTTGCGTAAACTTTTTCTTGCATTACAGTTTCGTGACGTACATAATCCTAAAAAATACAAATATTTTATTTTTATTTTTAATCACAATCTATACTAAAATTTATGCAACTGTTTTTGTGTCATTCCCAAAATAATCAATAACTTATTTAACTCCACATCTGCTCAATTTCATATTTGTCCACAAAAATACAATATAGAATTTTAATTCAATCTTATAATTGTAATAAAAACCCACTTGAATACAGAATATGAAGAAAAATACTGAAAATGAAATAAATACTTTGATAGCAACTAATAGTTTTAAACTTACTTCCCCCATATGTGTCTGAAAAGGAGATACATATTCATTTTCGTTCAGACAATCAAATTGTTCAAGTTTATCATTTGTTTTATGTGCCTTAAAAAAAAGTTATATATTATAATAAATTTTTCTTTTTAAAATGATAAATGTTTGTATATATTATATTGTAGTACAAGTAAGTATTATTAAATAGCTACCTTTTTTTTCTTTATCATTGCTATTTTTTGTTGTTGTTTTTTTTCAATTTTTTTGGATTCTTTTCTATCTGCACTACCAATATGAAAAGTTCCAAAGCTTCCTATTTTAGTTCTCTGAGAATAAATAAATTGAAGCTCTACAATTGGTATTTTCTCTTCTCTCTTACATTTGCATTTTATATGAATTTTTTCCATACATCCTGAACCACATTTGTACTCTGAACAAAGAATTAATTTACATTTACACAGTAACATGTCCACAAGCTTGTCTAGTTTTAGAGAAATCTTTCTTTTTCAGCTTTTTTTCCACGTTCATTACTAAAATCGACAGCAGATTTCCATAAATACTTGAGTTTTTTAAAAATTGTTTTTTCATGGATTACAACTGGATATACAAAAAGGGCATTTGCCTTTAACCATTGACCAAGAACAGTGGGTACCATATCAGTTACTAGCTGATCTACAGTATAGTTCCTCGAATTTTTTTCACTGATTTCTCCTAAAAGTATACCATATCGTAAAATATCTCTGGCTGTTGGAAGCTCAGATACATAAAGTTCTTTTCCATTCCCTACAAGATTGCTCATTTTAATAAATAATGCATTCCTTGTTCTATTCGACATCTCTAATAAACTAAATATGTTTACCGGAGCTTTCCTTTTGGTCCGAATATGAAGTAAAATGAAAAGAAATGAATAGTTGCGCATTTTTGGTACTTATTTTAGCAAAAACAAAATAAGTAAAAATAAAATGAAAAGTTACCAAGCTAGCACTAAAATTATTTAATTTTTAAAAATACGACTCCTTTTAAAAAGTTATGAATTTTTAAATTTTCACTACTCTTTTTTCTAAATTAAAAAAAGTGCACTTTATCATAAAAATCGACACACCCTAATGTATAAATGTTTATGCAGCCCTGGTCACAAACCCAGTGCCAGCTATATTTTATCAAACCCTGGCCCTGGTCAAATATCAACCGTGGTCGTTTAAGTTAGTTAGACAATATGTTGTAAACTAGTTTTTATACTAACATGTTCAAAATGTTATTCCAAAAACTAGTTTTCACAAGTTTACAACATTTTATCTACAAGTTTGCAACATGTTGCAACCTTGTAAATTATATTCAACCAGGATGACTGTGAAAACTTTTTAAATATTTTTACATCAAAGTAGAAAACTGTAAGCCTAATTGCTACATTTTTTTTTAACAGAACATTATACTATCAAGCTTCCTGCAAAAGTCCTAGGCCTCATCAACAATATGCAAGACTATATCTTAATTTTCTTATTTTATATGATCATAATCGCACTTTTAAAACAGTGTAAGAATGATTAGCTGATTTGGGGTGACATTAAACACGTAATGTTTTTATTTTTAAGATTATGGATTTGTTTTGCTAGAAGGATTTGTGCCAAAACCTAGTTCTTAAGAACATCAAAAATGAATTCATTAAGAACTGGAAGATGTGTTATCCACATATTTTATTCCTCCAGTCAGTCATATAAGTAATTGTTTCAACAAATAAACTTTCTGTTGAATTATCAAGTCTGTTTTGTCCACCAGCTTTTTTGGTTCCTTAAATTTTACTTTATTATGTAGTGTTCCTTATGGAATGTTATAAGTTTTAGCAGCCTTCCTTATGATAAATCCATGGATTTTCACTTTATTTACAGCTATTTTTAGGTCTGCTTGAGTGAAACTTATTTTGTAACATCAATTATTTTCTTTTCTTTTGTAATGTTAAGGCAAATTTCCTAAAATAAGCTAAAAAATCTCAAATTCTTAATAAAAAAATGTCACTGCAAATAATAATTAGATACAGACATTCTACACCCTAAATTTTGATTTCATTAGAACAATATGTTCCTAGTAAGCAACCGGGGTTGAAATTTAACCGGGGCCGGGTTTGATAAAATATAGTCGGAGCCAGATTTGTGACCAGGCTTTTTTTATTCAAAATTCATGTTATATTTTGTATATATATATGCATGTATGAACATCATTATAATCAACATGATCATTATAATCATCATTACCATCACGATCATCATCATCATCAACATTAGACTTTAGCCTTCCTATTTTATGCTGTTTCTCTAATATAAACAATCAAAAGCATTTTCTTTCCTTAACTAAAGCTCACTCATACAATATGTAAAGCATTCTCTTCAAGTTTTCTTACTTCTACCACTATCATTTTCTCCTACCTCTCTGTGTGCTGATACCTAAATTAATTACACAAATCAAATTTAATCTTCTCTAACAAATGAGGTCCTCAAATTTTAATTTGGGTGGTTATCAAATACAGTCGATGCTGTCAAAAATGAACTAGAATAGCCCCTGCTGCTATAGTTTAGTACAAAAGGTAAAAACGATTCTTTTGCAAACAAATTATGTCATTTTAAATTACTTTGACTTTTACCCAACATTTCTGTGTTATCTCAAAGCCAAAACCATTAAATTAATTGCAAATGAAATGTTTTTAAATTATTGCAAAAACGCAAATCTAATTGAATTTATTATTTATTTTTTTTAATGCAGAATATGTTTGTTTTTATTTTTTTAATGTTTTATACAGTTTTTATTTTTCAATTTCATTTGTTTTATTTTATTTACTTTTATTTTTTATTGGATTTACATTTGGTGATTACGGCTTTTGGATTACGGATTTGGCTTGAGACAGCAATTTATATATATATATATATATATATATATATATATATATATATATATATATATATATATATATATATATATATATATACATATATATATATATATATATATATATATATATATATATATATATATATATATATATAAGAATTAATGTTAACAATAATTTGATATTGTCGACAAAATATTTCAAATTAAACATTTATTAAAAAAATTCACCTTATAAATTGTACAGATGTGTAATTTATATTTGTACGACTTAAAAGATTCCATGATGGCAACTCTAAATAAATAAACTTATGGAGTAAAATTAGTTATATATAAAAAACAACATCGTAAAGTTAGAAAAAATATTAAACTTCTTACGAAAAAAAAAAATACCTGCTGCATCAAATCTTTTTGTAACCTCATCTTCAATAATATGCTAAAAAAAAAAAAGCAGTTTTAAATGTGTAAAAACAAGTTAAAGCATAAATTATTTTAAAAAATAGTATATTAATATAAAAAAAGTCAAAACAAAATAGTTTAATAAAAAATAATTTAAATTATTGGTTTCATTTAAAAAAAAAAGTTTTTTTAAAGGTTTTTTGTTACACCTCAATTCCACTTTTTAGAAATTCACAGATATCTGCAAGTTGGAAATTTCTGCTTAATGTTTCATATGAAATATTAGATGGTACAGGACTTTTAGGAGCTTCTAACTCATGATCTGACTCATGATCTATAATGCCTGCAAAAGAAAACATAAGTCTAAAAATTTGAAATAAATTTTTAAAATATGCATTTAAATCTAAAAGCATTAAATAAATAATAGTGTTGACTCATTTTGATGTTTGCAGGAAATAAATTTTAAAGCAACAAAAACCTTATTTCAAAAATGTCTTATCTAGGTAAACCGAGGATGAAGACTACATAAAAATTATTTCAAATTTTATATTCAGTAGTTTTGTGTTAAAACTTTGTCATAACTCATTAAGTCATATCAATTATATATATATATATATATATATATATATATATATATATATATATATATATATATATATATATATATATATATATATATATATATATATATATATATATATATATATATATATAGTAATGAACAAAATTGCGCTTAGGATTTCATCGTTATTTTTATTATTGATTAATAATAAATAAAAACTTATATAATTTAAAAACTTTGGCATATAAAATTCGCCGAATGGTCACACACAAGCAGTGAACGCCTGAGGGAAAAAATGAAGTACATTAAAATAAAGGAGAATTATTTATTAGACAAAGCATATCTTGACAGTTGTCAAGACAAAAATAAAGATTAATAAAGGAATATTTAAAAATAAATAAGACAGGTTATACACCCACAACAATAATAACAACAACAAAAATAAATAAAAAGAAAAAAAAAAAATTGTTTTATAAACACCAATATGAACGAAGATATACATCACCAGACAAAAACTTTTAAAACAAAAAACCGATCACAAAATAAAAAATATACTAACAACAATGAAAGGCATTTAATAATGAAAAAAAACATTAATGCTAATGTGTAAACATAATTTGTGTAGTGATTAAGTAATATACATCTCCTCAGAGTCGCGTCTATTACTACTGGCGTCTCGATGAGGATCAGCATTTATAAGTTATTTCGATGAGGATCAGCATTTATACTTATATAGAAGTTTTAGTATAATAATTGTAAAAAAGTATATAAAAAATATATGTAAATCTTTATAAGCAATTAAGGTGTTTTTACTTCAAATTTGGGAGTAAAAAAATATTATATATATATATATATATATATATATATATATATATAATATATATTCATACACTTTCAATATGTAATAAAAAGTTTGTATAAATATTGATATACTTAAAAAGATTAAGTTTCATATATTTTTTTAAAAATTTAATACAATATAAAACCATTTACTATCCTAAGTATAAATTTAAATTATAGCCGGCAGTAACTTGTTACAACACTTACAAAAAAAAGATGGTAAGACTAATATTTAAAATACTAGTAACCTCTTACAAAATATTTTTATATACAACCATAATAAAATCTTCATAAATAATCCAAACTCCATATTGAGCTGAGCAATGGACGCAATAACTAATGGCTAAATTTGGTTATATATGATCATAGCTTAAAAGAGAGTAAGGAGAACACAAGGGTCAGAGACTTTTTTAGCACTATTTATAGTCAAGACTTATTAGAGAAAACTCGACTCAAACATAGATAGTATTTGGTGTTTTAAAAAATAGGTTATGTAATAGCCTCATCTTTTTTAACAAACCTAAAGTCATAACAAAGAGCTTCTTATGTGGTATCACAATACACATCAAAAGCATCAACAGAAACACTACCCATGCACAACATACTGTTTATACTCTGATATTTTACATATGTTGATAGCAAGCTGATCATTGATGTTAGCTACCACAAAATTTGAGAAATCTTACTACCAGCATACCTCAGAGTCATTTAACTGAATTTTAAAGCTTTCTTTCTTTTATCCCCTCATTAGGGGATAACAGCAAAAATTTGCATAGCCACTAACAAGGAGACAAAATCGAAAATCTGTGATTAGAATTAAGAAGATTCATTTCTTAGAATTGATTAGAATCAACACAAATTTTCTAAATTTTCCTTAATTTGCTAAATGATTCAAACTTCATTTGAAAACACCAGTTTTCTATAATTGGATGAAATCTGCATAAACTGATTCTGAATACTGCTCACTGCAAACCCAAGGGCTGATTGAAACTTTTATTCCTAAATTTGGAGAAAAACTTTGCTAGATAATATTATGCTTTTTAAATTGATTGCCAATAAACTTAAGTATGTGAGTTGATATTTTTTGTATTTTTTATTTTTAGTATTAATTTACTCCCAATAAGGATGCAAGCAACCACTATTAAGTTGGGAGTTACTAGAAAACAAAGAATAAAGTTAAAGAGCAAGGAAACGACAGAAGACTTGAAAAGTTGTAGGTCATATGAGTAAGGAAACATGAAGATGGGAAAGAGTTCTAAAGGGTTGAAATTTGGGGGAAAAAACTAGATGAATAAAAAGTTTAACCACACATTATGCAATGATTTTTATAAAGGAAGACTTTGAAAGAAAAGTCACTGCAATATTCAGTTTAACTGAACATTGCGAGGACTTTTAATGCTATTGTTTAAATTTAATTTAAATTTTTTGTAAATAAAATATCTATATTTATTATTCTTCTAAAATCTCAATTAAATAAAAAAAAAAAAAGGTTAGTTCTAATGAACACCCAATGCGGTTTTTCCACAACATTGCCTAAAGTCTTTTCATGGCCTTTTATTTTATTGATAATATATTATTTATTGAAAACCAACCAATTTAGCCAGCTTTAAATTACAAAGTAAATTAAAGGTAGAAAATTAAAAGTACAAAGATTATTTTGGAAACCTTAATTATATTTACCATGTTCTCAATTACATCTTATGATTTCTTATTTACAACTTTAATGTTCTTAATTACATTTTACAATTTTTTATTTGCAACTTTTATATTCTCAACTACATCTTATGTTTCTTAATTATAACTCTCTAGTTCTCAATTATATCTCAAAAGTGTTGGTATAGCAAATATCTAGTTTAGATATAGCAAATAACACACGAAAACAAAAAAGAGAAGGCCTTTATTGAGGTAATTGTTCTTAATAAATACAAGTTTTTTTCACACTGGTAATTTCATAATGAAATTTTAAAGAATTTTGTATTAATTTGTGTTTTTATTGAAAACTTAAACTACTTTTTAAAATTAGAATTAGAAAATTAATATGTTTATGAAAACAAAGTAAAACAATTTCCTCTTTTTAAAATTTGCAAAAAAGCTAAAAAATGATTAAAGGGATCCCAAACTCCCAACACATGTTGTGTTCATATTAAAGATAATGTTAAAAAAAAGGTTTGAATCATGTTTTTTTGATTAAAAACAAATAATGAATGCATACCGAGAAAATCTTGCTGTTTTAGCCAAAGCTTGCCTTCTCCATTTTACTCAAAAACTCGGACTCTTTAAATTATACGTTGCAATCTACATCCTTTGAAACGCATTTAATTCATAAAAGTTTTAGTATTTGACATCACAGTAGACTTGACAAATGAAAAATGTAATTAAACAAAACTGCATTTTTCTACTTTTCTAAAAATACTACAACATACTTTTTGAATTAAAGTTGAAACTTTAATTCAAAAAGTATGTTGTAGTATTTTTTTAACATACAGCAAAACAAATTTATTTGTATTATTTTTCCAAATATCAACTTATTATTTACAGATATCTTATTAATTTTTAAAATTATATATCTTACTTATATTTCTTTTATTTTAAAATTAAAACAAATATTAAAGCTTTATTTACCAATCTTATGATTTTTATACGAGTATTTTCCATCATATAGAACATTGTATATACGGTGTCTTGTTTTTCTGTAAGAAAGCGCAGTATTATATATTCTGAATCTTTCTTATTTTAATTTAAACAATAGGAACTATTTTCTAACTTCACTGGTCATTTTAACGCTATGACACTTTTTGTTTTCCCATGAAAAAAAGTATTTATTAACAACTACTTTCATTAATTGACAGTATTAATTAGAAATATTTGATGAACTGTTAATTTATAATTATATATATATTATATATATATATATATATATATATATATATATATATATATATATATATATATATATATATATATATATATATATATATATGTATATATATATATATATATATATATAATATATATATATATATATTATATATATATATATATATATATATATATATATATATATATATATATATATATATATATATATATATATATTATATATATGTGTGTGTGTGTATAGACACACACACACACACACACACATATATATTCACACACACATCCAAGAAATAATAATAATAAAAAATGTAACATTTTCAAATGTACTAGTGGTGTGCTCTTGCTTGATGAGAAGTTTTATGTTCAATTCCCACCACGTCCCTGGTAGTATTGTGCTGAACTTGTTTGTTTGCGCAGCGACCTTGTTTGACAAGCTTTGTATATTTGAGTTAAACAGCTGAGAGATAATTGTATCCACAATAAAGTAGCCTCCTCCATATTACTTAAGGCTTTTTTTTTATTATTTCCCAACTTAAAAAAAGTTGGGAAATTAAAAAAAAAAAAGTATTAAAGTTTTTTGAAGAGAGTAATGTTTTAAATGAGTATGCAATTAGTAAACTACTGTAAAACACTTGTTCCAACTACTGTTGGAACAAGTGCTTTTGATGTTGATTTCACTACTAAGGCTGAGGTTAATTATATGAAAATATGTATATGTGATAGTGTGCAAGAAAAACTAAGTATTATAATCCATTACCATTCACAGGAATCGAATCTTTCAAAACACATTAAGAACAAATTTTTTAATAAGGCGTATAAAGCAGAAATCAAAAAGAACTACTAGAAATGGCACACAACAAACTGAGTTTTAGAAAACACAGAAGTTAATGCTGAACTTCAATATAAAAAGCAATCAAGCTTTTTTCAGTAAAGTAAATTTACTAATCACAAAAATTGTGGCATCTAGAGTAGTGAAAATCTACATGCAATTTAAGAAAAGGCAACTCGTTCACTAAAAAGCAGTTAGGTTTGCATTATAGACTGAAAGAATTGTTGGTCCATATTTTTTAATGACAAAGCTGGTAATGCAGTTACTGTTAGCAATGCATTTCCAAATCAACAATTTAAACTTGAATAATATGTGGTTTTAATAGGATGTAGACATAACACAACATGTGAAACATTCACTTTCAATCCACATTTTCAGGTCGTGTAGTGTTACAGAGAGTTTATACCAATCAGCCAGTGAGGTTTATCACAATTAAACTATTTTCAGAGATTTGAAGAAAAGGGTCTATATCAACAATTCTAGAACTAAGAGAGAACATCAGACATGAAATACTGAAATCAAACTGTATTTATTGGAAAGAATTATAAAAATTGAGCTTAAAAAAAAATAGAATTTATAAAAAGTATTGGAACAAATTATAAAAAATTACAATAAAAGAATAGTCATGGCAGCAGAGTTTTTTACTTTAACTTTTTTGATAATTAAAAATATACCATGGAGAGCTACTTTAACTTCTTTGATAATTAAAAATAAAACATGGAGGGCTACTTTAACTTCTTTGATAATTTTAGAAATTTTAACAATCTCATATTTAATAAATATTTGATAGGTTTGCACTTTACATTAAAATTCATTACATCAAATTTTCCAATGCTAAATTTTCTTTAAAAAACAAATCCACAAGCCCAAATTGAATCAACCAATCAAAGTCCAAATTGAATCTTTAGAATTCTAACAGTTAAGTTGATTGAGAGTATAAATAATTTCAGATCTTTTTTTTTTGTTTGTTGAAAATTAATGTAAAAAAATTATTAGTATACAACTATTTAGTAGTTATATATTATATAGTATTTATTTTTATTATATAGCATTTATATTACTATTTTATAAAAAATTTAATGGTTAAAATTTTAGGCAGTTAATATAAAACACACAAAGACATTAGCCATTGTCACGAAAATATAATATTTTTACTTTGTTCCACAATTAACAAAACATAGCGATGGTTATAGGGAAAAATTGCATATTTTTTTCTGTATAAATGATTTGTATAAAGGTATATTTTTTAAGCTTTTAATAATTTAGCTTTAAATTTTTTAAATACAATTTAAAAACATTTAAATATTCTGATGTACAGAATACCAAACTTTGGTAAACTTTAAGTTGTAAAAAGTAATGTATTAATACATTATTCATACTATATTCATTAATAATTTTTTTTTATTAAAATTTAAAATTGGCTAGGGACGCAAGTTTACCAATAGACCTACTGGACATAAGATAATGGGTGTCTCTAGTCAATAAAAATAATAGTTTTGGATTTGGCAAATACATAAAATAATATTGATTTGGTCAAAAATATATATATATATATTGTGTACAAAACACGTATATTGATGGGTATAAAGCAAAATAGCATATATTCATTTTTAAGCCCGTTCTGGGGCTTAAAAAAACTGTTTGCCCATGCTCAAAGAACTTTTCCGCTTCTCCAAAGCGCAAAAAGTTCTGAATGGAGAACGGGCTTTACAAAATGTGAGCTTTTACCATAAACTTGTTATTAAGTTGCCTATCATAAGGCAAAATGTTTTAAGTCTAACTGACCTATAATCATCTATTGACCAAATCAATATTATTTTATGTATTTTTTTAATATGTATTTGTTTTATTAAATAATAAAATGGTTTCTAATTGATTAAAGGTACTTGCTTTATAAATGTCTTATTTGTTAGATTACTATCTAAAGAATTACATTACTTGGTATTGTTTGTATAAAAAAATGACATTATAACAAAAATATCTCAAGTTTTTATATAATATAATATTTTATATATAATAATATAAATAATGAATACATTTATATGTTATGTATATAATATCTATAGAACTTTAATAAGATTTTATTTTGTATTTTAGAAAATTTGAAATGATTAAAAAAAAAAAAATTAAATATGCAAGCGAAAAGATTTGAACCCCTGAAATGCAATTTGGAAGTGCAGCAAGTTAACTACTTTGGTCACTCAAGAATACTAATAGTTTTTAACATTATTTAATAAGCAAAAAACTATAACTTTATAAAACGTCAATTAAATACTACAAATTAAAATTAAGGAGATATTAAAATTAAGGAGATATTGCCACAATGAAATTTTCAAGTAAAGGCAAAGTGTAAAACTTAATATAATTTTTAACATTACATAATTTAAACTTTACATTAGTTAGATATTTGCATACACATTTGATCACATTTTCTTATTTAAAAAAGTGCTGCAACTCTTTCTCATTATAAACTTGGGTGTAATGACTGCCATGACTTCCATATAAAACACACATGAATGAGTAATGGCAGCAGCAGCATTAAATTCAATATTAAAATATTATAAGACTATATGTATTAAAGATAACATGTTATCTAATATCTTTAACAACTATAATATTATATCTAATATTTTAGATATTCAAAGCATAGATCAACAATAATAAATACATTAATGATAAAATTATTATTATACTCGCACACAAATAAACCAAATTTACTCACCACTTGCAGCCTCATTAAGAATATTTTTTGCCGTTTGTTTCTTTCTACCATACTATAAAAAATTAGAGAAGAAAATTAAAAAGAAAAGAAATGAAATAGGTGTCATAAATAAGGTCCTTTGTTTTTTTTAAAACTTGATACATAGTACTTCTATCCCCTATAACATTTTAAATCGGTTACAATTGGTAACAAGGTTACATTCTCTACTTATTATTCAAATATTAAGTAAATAAACTTGAAAATGCAGTAAATGTTTGTTCATCATTGTCGTATTGCTAAATACTATCTTTTATTTCATTTTTATTGTAAAATAGCTTCGTCTCAATTCATTACTTTGTCACGAAAAAACAAAAAGTCTCAATTCGTAACATTACCTCTTAATTGTTTGTTTTTTTTAACTTTTTAAAGTGTAATTAGTTGAGACATTACGTAACGTAACAAAATCTGGATTTGAGACGTAACTAAAATACGTCTCAAACATAGATTTTTTTAACGTTACGTTATGACTAAATTGGTTACACTCTTACAAGTAAAAAATAGACGTAAGGTAACGTAAAAAAAATTATATTTGTGACGTGTTATAATTGAGTAATAGTTTTTTATTTTAATACGTAACAATTCGTAATGATGGGTAACAGTAAAAATATTAAAAATAAGGAATTAGATTGCTTGTGGGTTATCTTTTTTTAAAAAAGACTGCATTGAATTCAATGCATTTACAATTGTTAATAAAAAGAATTTGTTAAATAACGAAAATCATTAATGAATTATGGTATTCAACAATGCATTTGTTGAGACATTAGTAACTAAAAAAAATTTCAGAAAAATATTTTTTAGCTAAAAAATTCAATTTGCAAAGTTGCAATATATCAATTACAACCTCGCAAATTGAAACATTATTTTGTGACGAATTTGTTATAAAAAAAATTAGAAGCAATTTTTTGCACACTGATAAAAGTTAAAATAACATATAATAATATAATAATAGCCTTCTTTGGTGCACCTAGTCAGGCACCAAAGAAGGCTAATATTGCACCTGAATGTAAAATCTAAAAACAATTATATTTGCTATTCTAATCTTTTTTTTTTTTTTTTATATATATACAATACGTATTGTAACCTAAAAATGTTATAGGGGTATATATTATATATATATATATATATATATATATATATATATATATATATATATATATATATATATATATATATATATATATATATATATATATATATATATATTACAATACGTATTGTAACCTAAAAATGTTATAGGGGTATATATAATATATATATATATATATATATATATATATATATATATATATATATATATATATATATATATATATATATATATATATATTACAATACGTATTGTAACTTAAAAATGTTATAGGGGTATATAGTTCTATATAGTTCTATATATTATACTTCTATATAATATAAAATAATTATTATAAAGTTATACTTAGATGTATTCATGTTTTTCTGGCTTAATACAATTTTCAACAAATTACTTATCAAGCTACAAAACAAACAAGTATAAATATGTTGAGAACAATACATAAAAACCTTAACATAAGTAATATAATGGTTAGTATAGGTCATACACACATTTAATTTTGTGTGACCTTTAATTTGAAAAGAGATTTATTTGCAATCAATGCAAAATTATTAATAAAAAATTAGCTGGTATGCATGTATATATTTAGTATGTAGTTGTATCAGTTTTATTTGTAATTCATTTATTACTCTTTGTTTGCAACAACTTATGAAATTTTTTTTTAATTGAGACATTAAAAAAAAAAACTTATTTTAGTGTTTAAGATTTAATATTATAGTGATAATTATTATAATTATTATAATTATTTTAGTGATAAATAGTTTAAGTTCACTTAAGTTCACATAATGAAAAATAAGTGAACCAGTTGTCAAACCTGTCACAAAAAAATAAAAATTGTCATCAAAAATGTTAGTTTTGGCAAAACAAGAATTTTATGCTACTCAAGTTACAAATATCGCAAAATATGGAGATGATAAATTTATAAGATTCCTGGAATATTAGCTTAACCTTTTTCTACTAAGTCTCTGCTTGTCTTTATGAGGGCACATTATTATTATTTATATTTTTATAACCTTTTGTTTTAATATCTAAAATAGAATAAAAAACTTTTTAAGAATTTATTTTTCTGTTAACTACATATTTAAAATTTCTGCATTACAACTTTGCAATACAGCAGCAAAGAAGCACTTGGAAGCACTGAGGTACCAATCTAAAGCAAACTGTCATTTGTATTTTGTATGAAAATTCAGATTTCCCAGAAATTTCAATTCTTTATATTTACATACTTTTAATTGTTTAAACCAAGTTTAGTAAAAACTGAATTTGAAATTTTGAAAAAATGACATTGTGACACACAAAAAGTGACAAAAGTTGTTCTTATTTAAAGGGGTCAGTCCACAAATACTACAATATATGAAAAATATTTCTTAAAGAGGAATTTATCGTTGCGATTTTTTTTCATTAATCGTTGTGCATTTTAACTTATATTTGATAATATAGGAGTCAAAAACTGTTAATTTCAAATTACTGTACTTAAAATAGTTATATTCCTGCATATTAACCTAAGCATTTTCTTTTATATATTGAAATGACAAGTGTAAAGGATGACTTTTTATTTGACCAAGCTGATTTTTCAGATACCTCAACATTAAGCCTAATTGAACAATGGTTGATAAAAATGAAAAATTTCCTTCTACACATAGGTCCTTTTTCTGCACTTTATTTGAATAATGACTGGCCAGTTGACTCATAAAACCATACTTTGCATAAAAAGACAAGCATAGAGTTTTCGTAAGACTTTACAGATTTATTGGATATTTTAAATAATCTAGATATGGTATGGTCAATAAGACAAATAAATATTTGCACAATTAAATAGTGAGAGAGAAAAAATTATTTAAAATCAGCTTTAATTTTAATGAAATTAAAGCTGATTTTAAATTAAAACCTAAACCACAAGTTAAAAAACCTAAACCACAAGCTAAAAACCTAAACCACAAGCTAAAAACCTAAACCACAAGTTGAACTAGTGAAAAAATCTAAACCACAAGTTGAACTAGTTAAAAAGCAGAGTTTTGAACTTTGAACAGTTTATCTTTTTGAAAATATTGTTTGTTTGAAGCTTTTATTTCAACAGTATTTTTAATGCATCTCAAATCTATTCTTGTGTCTGTTTACTTTATTCTATTCTGTAGAATTAATTAAAAAATTAAAGTCAAAATCAGAGATCCCTGTAACTGTAAGTATGAGGTTTAGTAACTGACTTAATCAAATTGTTTTTTAAAGCACGAAACCAATTAAAAGTAATTTTAAATTTCAATTTAAAAAGTTTTTTTGAATGGTAATAAGAAACCTATGGTAAACTGTAATAAGGTAATAAGAAACCTATGGTAATAAGAAACGGTAATAAGAAACCTATGGTAAACTGTGAAAAAGTTGACAAATTTGACAAATTGTAAAAAAGTAGAAAAATAATAAAATAAAACATGTAAAACAGTAAATCACATAATAAGGAAAGGTGAGGGACAAAAAAAAATTTGAGCTTTAAAACCTACATACCAATTTTAAACTAGTTATACGTTAGATAAACTTTATTACATGATAATATTTAAATAATAAATGTTTTCTATAATGATCAGTGTTTTTATGGAATTGAGATTATAATGAACAAAATTATAAATTGTTATAATAAAATTCTCTCAGTTTTTTTTCTGAGCTATATCAGTAAAGCAAAAAATTTATGAATTTTCCATTATCTCTCTAATTGAGTTTTTCAGAGAAAAAAAAACACACTAATTTCCAAGTTTTCCAGTCTTGTTGTGAATCCTGTATATAAAAACAATTATTTTTAATATAACTATATAACATTAAACTATATAACATTCAAAAATTTAAATAACTTACTGAAATTGAAAATAACTACTTACTTCAAATACTTTTAAAAGAGAATTTATATAAAGATTTCGAAAACCAAGAGATATATTAAATGAAGCTGGAATGATGAACAAAATAAAGATAAACATCAGGTAGTAATAAACCAAGTAGAAAAATGTAATTAACTCCATTCTTTTCCAGTATTTTAAACTAATTTGATTTCTAAATAAAAAAAGTATTTTGATCTAACATAAAAATTAAAAAAAAAAAAACACCTAATTCTTATATCAGTGTAGGAAGAGGCTATTTTCTCACTTACTTTCTCTTGTCTTATTTTCTTTCTCGCTTACTCTCTTGTCTTATTTTCTCACTAACTCTCTCTTCTCACTTACTCTCACTTGTCTCTCATTTCCTCTCTCTCTCTGTATGTATGTATATATGTATATATGTATATATGTGTGTATATATATATATATATATATATATATATATATATATATATATATATATAAATATATATATATATATATATATATATATATATATATATTCTTTTTGAAATCATAACCAGTTTGACAGAGAATGAAAATATTATTCTTAAATGCAATAATGTAATAAAACATATTCATATAAAATTAATAAATAAAAATCTTTAATGTTTAAGTTTTTCAACAATAAACTTATTATATATCTGTAAAATCAATTTAATTGTGTTCTTCATTATATTGTTATATCAATTTAGATAAAATTATCAATAAAATCAATTTAGTAGTATTCTTTAAAAAGTACTAGATATTGTAAAAGAAATAGAACAAAACATATATAGAAGAAAAGTTCTTTTATTTCTAACAGTAACAGATTGTTTCTTTGCCTTTTTTTAGTCTGTAACCTTGTCATAAAAAACCCAATATTTTTATTATGTTTATAATAAATGTTTAATATTTTTAATTAAGAAATAATAGAAAAATACTTTTTTTTTAATTTTAAACTATTAAAAAGATATGAATTAAAAAAAAAAAAAAAAACATGCTGAAAAAAAAAATTACTTAAAGACTTAAAAAAAAGTTATCATATAGTAAATCATACAGTTATCACTTAAAAAAAAGGTAGCATATAGTATAGAATTAGGTAGATTATATTTCTGTGCATTTTTTAAATAAGTACCTAAACAAAACTTTTTTTTGCCATACCACCACTGATGATATCATTAAATTAAAGATAGTTCAAGGTTTCAGTACAGATATATATATATATATATATATATATATATATATATATATATATATATATATATATATATATATATATATATATATATATATATATATATATATACATATACAGAGAGAGAGAACTATAAATTTATATGTATTATAATGCATTATAATGCTGTTTTTACTATTTATTTATTTTTTACCTGTATTTTATGTTTATCAACTTAATTATTTAGGAATAACCCCAGTAAGTGTACATGTATCAACTGATTATTTAACAAAAGACACAGTGTATATAGGTAATTAGCTTTTTTTAACAATAGACACATACATTGTCAAAAGGCTTTGGATGTAGTTTGTGAGGGTTTTTGGAAAAATTGGGTAGACAGTCTATTAAATTAATGAAACGCTTTTTTAATTTTTTATCTAAACTTTTTTTAAACTGGAATTAAAATGTCATAAATTTAATTTAAAACTGCTCACAAAGTCTAATTTTAGATCAGCAAAAGAATGTACAAATTGAATGTCAAAAAAGTATATAAATAAAAATTTATTCTTATAAATATATTATTAATTAAATATATTAAACATTATAAATACATATACTATCTTTTCATAAATACATTTATTTGGCCATTTAAGCTGTCTAAAAGAAAGTTTATAAATACAAAAGCAATCAAATAATCATTTAACTGTAGACAACCATTTTTCTATATCTCTCAAGCCCACATTTTTAACACAACTGCATTCAATAACACTTACATTGGCATACTTTTTAATTTCTTTGATTCGTAAAATTTTTTCAATTTCTACCAAAGAGAATGTTAACTCCATATCTATCTTATTCAATAATATTAACAATGGTTTATTTTTCAAAAGTTCTTCAGACAAAACACTTAATAGAAGTATACACGATGCAGATAACTGGAATTGATTAGAAACATCAATTACAAATATAACACCACAAGCGCTATTATAATAATTTTTCCAAATAGGTGCCATTACTCCACCAACTTCTCGCAACTCATAATCTTGTTTACTAATGTGTATTTTAACCAAGTTGCTACCAACTGTTTGAATAGTTGACGGGATATCATCAAACACAACATCAGGATCCATACTTAGAGCTTTTAATCTTTTTAAAAGAAGAGATTTACCTGTACCCTCTGATCCCAGAACCAAAATATTTGCTGTTGTCATTTTCGTTAGAAATATAAATATCTAGATTGAAAAGCACTTATATGTTAATTTGATAAAAAATTCAAAAACAGAACTTTATAAAAGTAATAAGTTTTTTAAAAGAAAAAAAAAACTGCTTATGAAACACCTTTGGCATAAGAAACTTATGAAACACCTTTGGCATAAGAAAACTTCCTTATGCAAGGTTTCCTTAAAATTATCTCAAACAGCAAGCTTGAAATGATTTTTGAGAGTTTGATCATATTTGACTTTCTAAGGTTAACCAGTTTTATAAGAAAAAACAAAGTATTTTTTAAACAAATGTATGACATATTTAACTATGTTAATGAAACGCATTTAAAAATTATATATTCATCAAGATCATTGCATTGGAGAAAACGATTGGTCAACATCAAAATTTGAAATACTTATAACTGTTTAACATATTTCTAAATAAATGTAAAGTAACACTATACATAATGGTGACTTATTTCTAAATAAATGTAAAGTAACACTATACATAACAGTAACTTATTTCTAAATAAATGTAAAGTAACACTTTACATAATGGTAACTTCTAACCAATGTTTTAGTAAGACACTTGCTAAATACTTTATAAAGTATTGAAGAGAGTTTTAGATTACACTCTTGAAAGACTGTAAAAATGTTGTCAAGAAACAAAAACCACAAGCCGCAAAAATAAGTGAGAAAAAACTTTAACATTGAGTTCTTAGGGTGTTCAGAAGAGCATGGTCATTAGATTCAAGCTATAAGTTAGAGGACAAGTTTTTTGCAAATAGTTCTGCCTTATCCTTGGAGAGGTAATAAGATGAGACCTATGGTATGAGAAATGCAGTGTTTAACTTGGTTTTGTTAATGACATTATTACAAAATTTTAAAAGATCTCTAGCAACTAGCTTCAAAAAAAAAGAAATTAAAAAGAGATTTAGTAATTTAAGAACAATGGATCCTAGTATTAAAAAATACATAGGTATTCTATTTCATTGATTTCTTGTAATGATATTTTCATATTTCAAATGTCTTTCTTGTAAAGACATTTGAAATATGAAAAAAAATGATTACAGTTAAAAACAGCAGCTGCAAAAAAAAATGACAAAAAATAAAGAAAATGACAAAAAATAAAGAAAAAGGTGATTGAGTGAAGAGGTGCTAAACAAAAGCACATAAAAATAACAAGATTATTCAACCTGATTTAATGACAAATAGGTAAACTATATGTATTTGACCAGGTCAAGCATAAGAATATTGGAATATTAACAAATCAAAGAATAATAGCCACCAACATTAAGATCCAAAAATATAACATCTCAATTCAAATTAGTAGATCTGATGAATTTTGCATGTTAAGATTTTATGGATAAAAACTTTGCAGAACATAAAGTTTTGTAAAAGATAGGTTGTAATAATTTAATGATAATAATAGTTTGGTAATGCTGTTTAATATTTTTTGGTACTCAAGTCAAGATTGAAATTATTAGAGGGAACTTAAATTAAACAAATAGTACATGGCAGTAATAAGTAATGTAATTGCTTCATTACTGCTAATTAACCCTATTCATCATAAAGAGTTCCTTATGTGACCTCAACAATGCACACTAAAAGAACTTAAAGGAACGCCGCTCATGTGCAAAATGACATTGTTAATATTTTACAGCTGTTACAACATTTAAGAATTCTTACTACCAGCTAATCTTAGAACTATAAAAGTAGGTTTTAATGTTTATGTAAAATTCATGTCTACATAAGCATGAACTTTACATGAGCATCTATGTAAAACATAGATGTTCATGTAAAGTTTTATCACATGGAACTCACATGACAAAGCATATTTTACAATGTCAAATGTCCTTATGAAGTAAAATGTTTATATATGTAAAAAATGAAATGAAATGTTTATATATGTAAAAAAGAAATGCAACAATGGGAGAATGGTTCAAGCTTGGCAGATAAAGCAGGTCTAACTACATTTATAACATGCTTTTAGACTTTGTCTGAGTAAGAAGGTTGTTATTCATCAATATAGCAATGCCAAGAATATTGCAATATTTTTTTGCAGTAAATAAATGAGTTTTGTTGCCTAAAAAAAATAGTGGATTTAAAGTCCAGAATTTAAATCCACAAGCCACCGCAAGCCTTGGCTGTTACAGAAGAAAGATCAGATTAAAAATTAGTTGCTTGTTCTAGGCAATAAAAAAGTGAAGATTTTTTGTCAATGCAGGAGTATAAAGTTGAGTTGTCAGCAAATAGAGGCACTTTAGATGTAAAAATTTTATGAAGATTGTTATTGTAGATAAGAAACATTACAGGAGCAAAAAACCTTGTGGTACCCTAAAGTTACTTGAAAAAAAGAGAAGTGTAAGCCTTCACAAATAACTTTAATACTGCAGTTAGAAAGAAATAATTTAATATTCTCAAAACCTTTATATAAAGTAACTAATTGCAGAGTGAAGACTAATAATAGAATAGTTGGAGAGGTCAAAGTATTTTCTAGAGTTTTTAAAAATTGGAGCCACTTATTTAGAGCTTTTTTAAAAGTTATGCAAAAATTTAAGGGAATTCTGGAAAACATTTTTTTAAGATTATGATGGAAGTCTTGTCTGAATCACAGAATGTAGAAGTGTTTTTTTAAGAATTAACTTAAGCATTGGAAGCCAGAGTGATTTGAGTGTTTAACTAAGGGTATTTTGTTTAACTGGCAGGAAAAGTATGGCCATTAGATTCAAGAGTCAAATTAGAGTAAGATTTCTTTGCAAATAACTCTGCTTTATTCTGGGGAGAAGTATAAAGATCAGACCAGTGAATTAAAGATTAAATGTTAAACTTATTTTAGTTAATGACACTGTTGAAGACTTACTTAAGGTTATTGAGACTTATAGAGATGATTAGTTCTAAATGATATAAGATATAAGATTTAGTAAACTAAAAATAACAGAGCTTAACATCAGATGGGATGTTTTTACATTGGCTTCATGGAATAATAAAAGGACATTTGTTCTTAAGAGAAATATTCTTGTAAAAAAGATTTAAAAAATGATTCATGAGTAATAAAGCAACTGCTCAAGATGGTGAAAAATGTGAAGTAGATTGAGTCTTGACTTAAAATTGAAGAGGAGTAACAAAAGCTTCCAAACTTTTATTCCAGAAGGAATAAAAGCTAGATGGGAGATGCGATTTATGCATACATATTATGGATATAAACATGTATATTTGCTATTTATTTAGATACTGGCATACAACATCCTTTCGCATTTATATAAGCTTTAGTATTTATATGGTGTAGTATTTGCCAAAAGAGAAGATGATCAGATGATGATAATGATGATCATGATGATCATTTTGATCATAATGATGTTTATATATGCATATATATATATATACAAAATATAACATGAGTTTTGAATTAAAAAAATATACTATAGGATGTATAAATGTTTATACAGCCTCAGTCATAAACTTGGCCCCGGCCCCGGCTATATTTCATCAAACCTGGCTCCGGCCCCAGTCAAATATCAACCCCGGTCACTTACTAAAGTGGATCTATTTTTTAATGACTGAACTTTATACTCATGTCTTGAAAAAAGTCTTTTCTTTTTGATTGCTTAAAACAGGCAGACAAATTTAATTTGATCCCACTTCTTTAACAGATACGGGCTCATAGTGGCTAATATTGTTGTCATATTTGGGCAGGTTCTGCTAATGATGCTCTTTCTCTTTTAGACAAGTTCATTTTCAAATGGCATACCTAAAATTAAAATTTAATTATAGTTAATTTAAATATTTTTATTAAAAATATAATTAAAATTTATATTAAAATTAATGCCACATTATGCCAAAAAAACCAAACAAACACCAAAAAAAACATCTTATTTTGACCCTGACAAAGGTAAGGTTTCAATATATAAATATATTTATATAGCTATATATATATATATATATATATATATATATATATATATATATATATATATATATATATATATATATATATATATATATATATATATATATATATATATTAAATACAGAAATAGCTATATAAATAACCAATATATCAATCAGTCAATAGATGATATAGTTCAAAAATAGAATACTTTTTTATGACATTGTGTTGTAAAAAAAAGCCTTAATTTAAAAAATTGTTTAATAACTCTTCAATTAAAACAATCTGTGGATGTTCAGACATTTTAAAATCAATGATTTTTTTTTCTTTGTTAAAGTGAACAAAGGGTTACCCTTTGTTCATTCTTACAAAGAAAAATTACTTTCGTACCCTTAGGAGACAAAGTGTATAAAAAAAGTGTAAAGAAAAAATATTTCGTACCCTTAGGGTATGAAGTGTATAAAAAAAGCATTACTGATCTGAAAAAAAATATTGCCTGGTAACAAAAAATTTTATACACTTCATACCCTTAGGGTATTAAGTGTAGAAAAAAAGCGTTACTGATCTGAAAAAAAATGTTGGCTGGTAACAAAAAATATTGATATAAAAAATAGTAACCCAATACCGATTGTTGTATACTATTACGACCTCTCATAAAAGTAAAACTTCAGAACTACATGTTGAATCCAATTAATCGACCTAGAGTTTTTATTGAAGCAATACTGTTTTAAATGTTTATTGGCAATAACTGGTGTTACCTTGGAATTTTAAAATCAAATTAAATTTTCGTAACTCTTGTCTAATCCAATCAAAATTGTCCTCATTATAATCAAATATGGTTCAGAAATCAATTTTATATATATATATATATATATATATATATATATATATATATATATATGATATATATATATATATATATATATATATATATATATATATATATATATATATATATATATATATATACATATATATATATATATATATATATATATATATATATACATATATATATATATATATATATATATATATATATATATACATATATATATATATATATATATATATATATATATATATATATATATATATATATATATATATATATATATATATATATATATATATATATATATATATATATGTATATATATATATGTATATATATATATATATATATATATATATATATATATATATATATATATATATATATATATATATATATATATATATATATATATAATTTTATACAATTTAGGCAAATTAAATTTGAAATTTAGGATATTTTAGAAATTCATGTATAAAAAGTTAGAGTGATTTTATAAGCATTCTGCCTATAAATCGGCGTAACATGTTACATGTTTATTAGGAGTACTAAAAAAATACGAGTTAATAAATTTTTCATATGAACAATTACCAAAAAGACTTTTCTTTTGAAAAAAAAACAATTAACTAATTACATTAATTACAAGTTCAAACTCGCTTAGCGGCAACATTTGTTCTGGTTTCTGACTGCCTCGACGCAGTCGGATATGTTGGCATCGTAATACATTCTAGAGTAAAAATACTCATACTACCACACGGATTATAAATAATTTGATTCGATGGTTTGTTTCAATAAATATAGTGCTGTGATTGGTTTATTTTAATGTCTCGTATAACATAGGGAGTTAATTAAATAAGAGATAAATTGATTTTTAAATAATGATAGACTTAAGTAAATTTAGTACATTTGACTTACGTAGAGCTCTTCGTAAGTCAAATGTACCTCTAGAGGTGTAAGTAAGGGCGCGTATCTAACTGATGGGTTTTGGCAAGGTCAGGGAACATATTCATTTGGAAAAAGAATTCATGATCCAGAAATTGTATATTGTTTTTTGCGCCAACAAGCATACAACAACTAATTTTTGAAGTAACTTGTTTATTTTATAGTGACTATAGATCAATGAATACAAACTACACCGACTCTACCGTCAATTTATAAAAAAGTAGTCTTGCGTCACTTTTATATTTTCTTGCAATTCTAAAGCTACCACTTCTATTATTGTTTTTTTCTAGAGAACGAAAATGTTTTAAACTAGGTTTAGCTTATTTTGTAGTTGTTGTTTTTTTTTGACAGATTTCTTTTTAAACTCTTTTGCTAAAATAATCTTCCTCTTCTAAGCCTTGAGTGTTTAAAAAAATTCAAAAAGGAACGAAAAAATTAAGAACCAGGAAAATTAAATTTTTGCAAAAAATTATCTCGTGTCAGCCGTGGTTTAGCAATAATTCAGCAATAGTTAGAGCTCTAACCACAACGCCACGCAGGGCCGGCGCGAGTAGGTGTCACGTGGGGGGGGGGGTGCCGTTACAACTTTTGCCGACTAAAAAAAAAAAAACATTTTCGAAAATTTGCTGACTAAGGGTCAAATTTGCCGACTAAAAATCATTGATAGGAGGGAGGGTGTCACACCCCTCACACACACCCTTCACGCCGGCCTTGCAACCACGTGAGTTCTGAGTTCTTAGTTACCCCGGAGTTCTTAGTTCTGAGCCAGATCTCTAAGGTCTGAGGTTCGATGATCAGATATGCAGCATTGGTAAGAAAGAAGGCGTGAACTTCTTAGCTAAATATTAATACGTGGTGCTCTGCGAAAAGATTGTAAGGACTCCGTGAAGCACTCACACAGTATATAAAAAAAGCCTTCAATCACGGTCGTTTAAATGTGGAAAGTTATTATACGCAAGCGCAGTGTCAAATTCAAATATTATAATTTTAAAGATGGTGACGGCCTTTAGATACCAAAATTTTTTCTGAGTAGCAACAATATTTTTAAAGTTTTACTTAGTAGTTATTATTTGCATATTTTTGATAGAATGAAATAATAATAAAGATAATTGAATTGTTGATTCAAAAATGATCAAAACAATATAAAGATGTTTAAATATATAAAAAACTGTGATTCTCTGCTACATTTATCTGACTGTTAAAAGCGTGATTTGTTTACATGTTCAAAACTGTTTTTCTAAAAATCTGAGCGATAGAATTAAATAATTTTTACTTTTTTATTTCGAATAGTCTTGTCTTGATTTGAAATTGTTTTCAGATCTGAGTATTCAATTTTTTTCTGAACAAAAATAGAATTCACCCAACACTACTTTTGTAGATGTATGATACATTTATATTAAGGTATATAGCTAATATATATATATATATATATATATATATATATATATATATATATATATATATATATATATATATATATATATATATATATATATATATATATATATATAATTATATGTGAATGATTATAATATAAATTATAATATATAATTATATATGAATGACTATACAATAAATGCAAAAAAAAAAAAAAGGCTAAAAAGTTCACAAGTTACTTATAAAGTATGTAAGATAAAATATTTATATATAAGTTAAATATAAATGTATTATATTACATAGTTTATATAGCTATAATTTATATTTGTTTTTATAATATAGGTAATATAAACTATAAAATATAGTTTTTATAATATATCATAATCATTTAACTATATATTATATACAATTTGTATCCAATAAATTTGTGTGCATATTATATTACAACACGATTACAACAATTGTATGCAAACACAATTAATGCATACAAATCAAACTCTGAAAAATAATAAAATATTAAAAATAATAATATATGTCTAAGCATAGTATACTATGTAATACAATACAGTATATATATATATATATATATATATATATATATATATATATATATATATATATATATATATATATATATATATATATATATATAAATATATGTATATATGTATATATATATGTATATAAATATATATATATATATATATATATATATATATATATATATATATATATATATATATATATATATATATATATATATATATATATATATATATATATATAATACATACACCATTGGCCATTAATTAGAGCATTCTTACTTATATATCCTGTTTGCTTAAAATTACTTTAAAAACTAGTTAGCTTTTTAAATATTTTATTATTTCTAATTAATAAGTATCGTGTTTTTTATTTAATGGACAAGTTGTTTCCATAAAATTTCATTTGTATCCCTAATTATATGTAACTTTATAACATCGACTATATTTTTTTAAATTTTTTTTGTTCGTTAAAAATTAATGCTTACTGCTTTATTTTTAAAATTAATGTAATATTTTTTTTAATAATTTAATTTGATTTTCATTAGCATTTATTAACTCTAAATTTCTAATTTTAAAATAGTACTGATAAAAACACAAAGAAATTAGATATTGAAAAAGCCTATGAGGCTTTTTCAATATCTAATGACGAGTGAAGTAATACAGCATGAAACTCCAAAATCATGGTTGAGATTCTCTGAAAAAACATGTTACAAATCTATTTTTATTTTAAACCAAGTATTATCTCCTCGTCAAATAGCCAATAAGTTAATTATTGAATATTCACATATTTGATGAAACACGACAGCAAGTGGTGAAATGTTATATTCTCAGACAAAATAAATGTTGAGGTAGATATGCAAAAATATGTTATTGCTTCGTGTTCTGCTATGGCGATCACCTCAAGAGTAATTTGATTTGAATTGTACATGAAAACCAACCAAGCAAGGTAATGGCAGTGTAGACTTTTGGGCCTACATGAATTATGCAGGACTTAAATGCTATTAATTATTTGAAGGTTGACTTAATGCTGATAGGAACATTGAAATTTTAGATAATTACCTTCTTCAATCCTTATTTAAGAAAGGTGGATCTGCAAAATATTGAAATGCTTTTTTTATGGTTTTTCTTTGGTAAATTATTATTTTAATATATTATTTGAAATATATACTTAACTTTAGTCCGATAGTTTTTTTAAATTAAGATAAAATGTTTAATTATTTTTTTTTTTTTGGTATCTAAATCAATATGTTTAGATCTTTTTTTGAATTTTCATAATGCATATAGATTTTACTTGTATTAAAAAAATAAAAATAAAAGCATTTTAGTTTTCGATTTAGTTGATTTTGAATTTAATGTTTTATAAAAAAATCGTGACAAAAACAATGTGTGCTCTAATTTAAGGCTTAAAAAATCTTACCTACCTCAAAAATCTAATTTAATATCATGTCGTGGATATATATATATATATATATATATATATATATATATATATATATATATATATATATATATATATATATATATATATATATATATATATATATATATATATATATATATATATATTAGGCCCCTGCTAAGCCTAAATATTTTGAATCAAATCAAATAAGTGATTCAAGACTTGACTCAAAAAATCTCTATTTATTTGAATCAAATCAACCTGCTTTTGTTAATAGTTTATAATGAAATTAGCTCAAGGTCATATCATTATAAATTTTCGCAATCTTGAGTAATAACATTATTAGAATGTTATTACTCTAATAACATGAAGTTGTCTTGAAAATTTCAAGATACATTAAAAAAAAAATTTTTTTTAACTAAATTTAATTATGGTCATGCTTTGGTCAATTCTAAATGTTTTGCAAAAAATTTCATGAATTGTTAACAAAATTTCCCTTACAAGCTAACTGCCTCTGCCAAAACATGATGACAATGACTTGATAAAATGCTTAGTTTCTCTATCTAATACTAAATAAACCTTCAGTTTTCAATTTAATTTATTTGTATTATTGTGCCTAAAAGTTATGACCATATAAAATTAACAGCCCCCTCGATTTTATCAAACTTTGCTCATTTAAATACTAAAAAAATATTATAAGGTATTTTATTAATTATTTTAGCAATAAATAGTTAAAAATGGAAAAAACTTTTAAAATTCGAATGTATTAAAATATGAAATGATTTTAACAAAAACAAAAAGTAAATATATTAAAAATTGTATGTTAGGCCGACTTCCATGGGTCTAACATACATACGTATTGAAATTCATAAATATATATATATTTATATATATATATATATATATATATATATATATATATATATATATATATATATATATATATATATGTATATATGTATGTATATATATATATATATATATATATATATATATATATATATATATATATATATATATATATATATATACATATATATATATATATATATATATATATATATATATATATATATATATATATATATATATATATATATATATTCTTTAGTTATGACTAGGAGTGTTTAAACTATTTATAGAATGTAGAAATTGTTTTGTTTTTTATTTGTTTATCTCTCCATTGACTTTTTGACCACAACTGCAAATACCTATATTGCATCCATGCATATATTACATACATATTTAAATAAGTATGTAATATATGCTAAAATAATTGATAAAATATACATACATCTATTATGTATGTATGTATTAATAAAAACAATCCTGCCTGCCTGTCAAAGACACACATATATCTTTAAAAGTCATTTCTTGTTATACGATATATATATATATATATATATATATATATATATATATATATATATATATATATATATATATATATATATACATATATCCTTAAAAGTAATTTCTTGTTATACAATATATATATATATATA